ACACTCGTACCACAGTGGGATTTAACACTGGTGCTACGCGCTTTGACTAAAGCTCCTCTGAGCCTTTGGATCAGGTCTCATTAAAGTTTTTATCTCAAAAAAAAAAAACAGCGCTGCTGTTAGCGTTAACATCAGCAAAGAGAGTCAGCGAGCTGTCCGCTCTGTCAGTGTCTCCCTCCTGCCTCAGGATACGGGAGGATGGCAGCTCTGCGACTTTGCGTCCCAATGCGGTTTTTTGTGCCTAAGAGCATCACGAGCTCTTACAGCTCCAGAGTTATTACTCTGAGCGGCTTTTGTCCTCCTCCCCACAGTTCAGAAGAGGAAGCAGCTTCTCACCTGCTGTGCCCCGTGCGCGCACTCTCGTGTTATGTCTCACGCACGGCACAGCTCAAGCGCGCTCAGTGTTTATTTGTTCACTGCAGAGAGCAGTCTGCAGGACAGCCTTTGTCTTCTCAGAGGCTGTCACATTKRDTTTRTGAAGCGATTTCGCAGGCTTACATCTCATCAGGCTCGCAGCCTCCAGCTGTACTGTCAGCTCATCCTACAAGGGGGGCTCTCTTCCTCCACTGCTCTGTACAATGGAGTATCAGTCCAGGATATTTGCTCTGCAGCCTCCTGGTCATCCCCTTGCCCCTCATCCGTTTTTATCTACGGGATGTTTCGGGCCCCTCTCTGACCCACGCCGTTCTCAGAACCGTGTCAGAGTAATATGTAATTTTTTCATCCTAAATTACTGCACAAATAATGACCTTTGTGCTTGAAGTGTTACTGCACATACAGTGTGCTGTCTCTTCTTCACATCATCTGGATTATGTGATGAACACAGGGGCTCATGCAAATCTGTTCACTATGTGAATCAGCTTTTGCTGTTGCCTTTTTTGCTTGTGCAATATCACAAGGGGTGTTTTGGGTGGAAGCTTCACGTGCATGTCAAGCCGGTGAGGCGTAGACTACATCAGGCTCCGCCTCTAATACCCATCTGCGATAGCCTTAGAGGGCGGAGCTTACACGAAATAGAACGTTGGTTACGTATTGTAACCCCAGATTCTATGAGTGTAAGCGCAGCCCTCTAAGGATCGGGGCCTCACCGGCTTCCGTAGCTGAAGAAAAAGTAAGCTATTGGGAGCTGAACTCAGGTCCGTCCTCCCCTTTTATACGGACCGAGGTGAGGCCCACGTCACGTGGGCGAGGACTATTGGTCTTCAGAATGCGCGTACGCGCACGGGGGTACCCATCTGCGATAGCCTTAGAGGGCGGAGCTTACACTCATAGAATCTGGGGTTACAATACGTAACCAACGTTCCAGGGCAGCTGTGGCTACAGTGTAGCTTACCACCATCAGTGTGTGAATGGGTGAATGTCTGTTAGTGTAAAGAGCTTTAGAGTACTGAGAGACTTGATCAACGCTCTATAAGTTCAGTACATTTACCACAAACATGGAAAATTTTAAATTCATGCCCTTATTTTGAAGTGAAGACGGTTTCCTGTCCTCCGTGTTTTTGATTTTTGTCACCAATCCATCCTGTACCCAGAATCCAGAGTAAACCGTTTAAATTACACATCCTGCATGCTTTCTGACTGAAGCCCAACCATAAACATAAGAAAATGTACAAGCAGCAGCAGAACTAGTCATCTTCAACAACTGTTATCACCATGAGCTAAAGGTTTGTTTCAACAAATCACCTCCCCACACTGCAGCGACATGTGCAATGCTGTAAAAGTCCAGTGACGTCCCTCTACTCAGTAATATGTTATCACTGGAATGTACTCTGGTGAACTCTGTTGGAAATAATCTGCTACGTTTTATTAAACACAAGCACTTTACATCTTCTGGATTAGCACTGGCCCTCTCTGCCTTTAGGGCTCAATATGTTGATCTGTAAAAACTCTTTGATTTGGGTTGAGCTGCTCTTTAAGCTGCTTTATAATCCTGGTAAAACTCAATCCTTGTTGTTGCTCGCAGTGATAGCCGCCCGGCCGAGCACCATCCCATACCTGAGCGCCCTCCTGCCCTCAGAACTGGAACTGCAGGCTCTGGAGGAGACGGACTCCTCTGAGCAGGATGACCAGATGGACAACGAGAACCCAGCAGGGAACATCATCTCTGTAAGTCCTCTGACATGGACTTCACCTGTTGTAGGTAGAAGAGACAAACACACTGAATCACCTGGTCTAGTTTTGTAAAAGTCTCAGTGTCAGAGGGATGGAACACAAACCAACCAGCTGATGGTTTTAAAGAGCAGTTCATGTCTGTTAGGATTTAACACAGTGAACTGGGACTGATGGTGCAGTTTTACAAAGGACCAGTGTGTCAGTGTGGTACACTCACATTCACAGACACACAGGCAGCATCCTGATTAAAAAGACTTCTTTTATTCAACTAAAATCAGAGTTGGTCAGGAAATAAAGAGCTGTTTAAAGTGCAGCTGATCAGAAGTCAGCTCCAGTTCAGCTCCAGTTCAGCTCCAGTTCAGCTCCAGTTCAGCTCCAGTTCAGCTCCAGTTCAGCTCCAGTTCAACCTCCTTCATGGTTGAACTGGAGACTGAGCTGTTTATCAGGCCACAAGTCACCTGCAGACCTTGAGTTTGACTGATGAGTGCTTTAAATCACATTCCTACACTCATGGGACACACAGGTAGTGGGGTTCAGTGTCTTGCTCATGGGCACTTCAACATGTGACTGAGTAGTGGTGAAATAGATGTGGGTCCTTTATTTACTTGTGACAATGTTGTGAATAAACCAGTGAGCAGAGGATGACTGGAGTCTGTTGGAACCAGTAAACAGTACAACACCAGTAAACGTATAACCTGTTTGTGTTTCTGTGGTCCAGGACGATCCCAGTGCAGACAAGGAGAACTCCATGCTTCCTCCCAGTAGTGTGCTCCCATCGGTCAAAGCCAGTGAAGACAACATGATCGACAACCCGTACCTCCGGCCCGTCAAGAAACCCAAAGTCAGGAGGAAGAAATGAGTCAGGACTTGTTGTTCTCAGTGTCTGCTGAGAGCACGGACCACAACTGATGCTGACTCACAACTCACGTTGTGTATTTATGTCCAGTTGTTTTGTGAAACACAACATGCAGATCACAGAGGAGTTTTTATCTTCTCAGCAGTGTTTGAGGAAAGCTTTGGTCATTAACAGGAGCAGATATTTGTCCTCAGAAAGGTCAGTGTGTGTCTGTTTCACTGAGGACACAACAAATCTCATGTCACACACAATAATAAACTACACACTTTTCTAACTGCAGCTCTGTCACTTTCTGCTTTTTGTTGAAGGGATAGTTTGGTCTTTTTCAAATGTTTTGTCACATAATTATTAGGGGTGTAAATCACCAGCTTTATCCAACGTTACATCCATATGTTTGAAGATCTGATATTTCTTTATCATAAAGTGTCACGATTCAATTCAGTTCAAATGTCTGTGATCAATATAATGCAATATCATGTGTCCATCTAACAATAACTGGGTTAGATGAGCATATGATGACAATATAGATCAATATTTTCTTTTTGCATCATTATAACTGAGTCATGAACCTTCAAATAGATGTAGATGGATTTATTGTTACACCTAATAATTATCAAGAGTTGTTCTTCTAACAGCTGTGAAGTCAGGCAGAGGAAAGATACATGTCAAATAAAAGACTGCAGTGAAATGAGCTGCCTCCTCGCTTGGTTAGCCATTAGCCTAGCCATTAGCATAGCCTGGAGGAAGAGACGGCTGTCAGGTACCAGTACTGAGAACTGTTGGGTTATAAAACTGGAGGGTTTGACTCAGAGCTGAGTCAGCAGTGGTTCTGATCCTGTTCATGGAAAATGTTTCCATGTAAAATAAACTCATTTTAAAGTCTGTCAGAAACAGGTTTGTACACAGAATTAACAAAACTTCTGTTTCTTCCAACTGCTTTAAAGTTTCACTTTGATTGTTGTAGATACAGATTTCCTCTTTAGATCTGTGTAATCCTCCACTTAAAACACATCGTTTTAAACAGTTGTGTTGTTTTAAACAGTTGTGTTGTTTTAAACAGTTGTGTTGTTTTAAACAGTTGTGTTCTAAGCAGCTAGGTTTCTGGAAATGTTTTATTCCAAACAGAAACTAAAAACAAGACAAAAGTGATGAAACTACAGCAGGTCCAGTAGGGTCTCTGCTGTGTGTGTGTGTGTGTGTGTGTGTGTGTGTGTGTGTGTGTGTGTGTGTGTGTGTGTGTAGGGGGGAATTTTTTGTTAATACTTTAGTGGAGTAATTA